GAATGGAACACCGGAAATTATCCGAACATGTTTATGTAAACATACATGTCCCTCCCTTTTCTCCTTTGCAATTTTTTGCTCTTTCATGCCTGATTAATAGAATCATTAGGCGATATTGCACTTACACTTTTCACAGCGTAGTGTTGATTTTAGAATTTGCAGCTTGAGTGAACAGCGGAAGTCATTAATAGAAATTTTTTTATGCTTATCTGACGATGATGATGACCATCTCCCAACTTCGTCACTTTTCCCATAAGATTCATTCTTGTCTCGTACTGGTGAGTATCGGTACGTTATAGAATTGCTATTATTATCGTACTGGTGAGTAACGGTACGTTATAGAATTGAATCTCTATCAGTTTCTTACGCCTCAGGGAAAAAAAAATCGAATTGCAAAATGTCTAGTAAGAAAAGAAAATTCAGCTTGGTTTGGCAGCACTTTTCCTATACTAATGAAGATGAAAATGTTATGTGTGACATTTGTAAAGACCTTTTATCCATCAAAGGTGGTTCAACAGAAAATTTAAAAAAACATTTGCAAAGGAAGCATCCTTGTGTAAATCTGCACGAGAAACGCGCTTTGCCGAATCAAGATGTTGATGATATTGATGCCCAGCCCGTTCTGTCGCCACTAGCCCTGCAGATGGTGGGTAACCATGCACATCCCTAGACTCCAGCAGACTACACAACTTACGGTAGACAACAGTGCTTGTGATATTGTTGGTGTATTTTCACAAAAATCCCAGTCCAGCATAATGCAGTTTGTCCAGAGAAATACGATGGATGTACATAAAAAAAAAAAAAAAGTAATCGGTCGCACACTGATCAAAATGGTATATAAGGATTTACAACCAATAAGTATCGTAGAAAATGAGGGATTCCGAGAATACTCAAAGGCTTTGAATCCAACCTATTCCTTACCTTCACGGAAAACGGTTTCTAAATCCTTGCTTCCTGCTGCTTATGAAGAAAAAAAAAAAAAAAAGATAGTTTAAAAAATGTTCTTAGTGCTGTACAAAATATCTGTTTGACTGTAGACTGTTGGAGCAACCAAAAGGCTGAAAGTTACATGGCCGTGACAGGCCCTTTTATTGACGAACACATGCAAAGGAAAACGGTACTGATTGACTGCTCAATTTTTGATAAACGTCATTTAGCCAAAAATATTGCAGAAAATATCCTACACACTTGCCAATCATATTTCCGATGGAAAAAGTGTCTTTAATAGTGACTGACAATGCCAAAAATATGATTAACGCTGTCGACAGCGAACTAAAGTTAAAACATTTAGGATGCATTGCACACTCTCTCAATTTGGCTGTCACAAATTCTCTAAACGAGGTTAACGACCTTCTAACGAAAATTAGGGATATTGTGATAGTTTACAGGAGAAGTAATATCGCTGCAAAAAATCTGCGAAAATATCTGTGCTCTAGCGAGGAGAGAAAAGACTTAAAAGTCATCTTAGATGTGAAGACTCGTTGGAACAGCACGTTTTATACGGTAAAACATTTCTTTGAACTGAAAGACGCTATTCATTCTACAATGGGTTTGATGAACGAACCCCCAGAGGCTCTTGACGTGCCAGAATGGGAAAGTGTCCAACATCTTTGTGACGTTTTGAAACCTTTTGAAAAGGTGACATGCGAGTTGAGTTCGGAAAAATACTTGTCAGCATCTATGGCGCCAGTGTTAATAGGCAGCCTTAAAAAAATCTGTGAAAATCTGCTTAGTAAAAGTGTTAATGAACAAGTACAAAATGTGGTACTAGTACTACAACGTAAATTGTGTAATAGATTTACAACTATCGATTCAAGAGAAGACATTGCTCAAGCCGCTTTGAACCTCGAATAAAAAAATTGGGGCTCAAATGTGATGTCGCCAAAAACATTGAAAGCGATATTATCTGTGAATTATCGGTAGTTGCACAAACTACCCATAATCTTGTTGAGGATGTGGAAGGGGATGATGAAGAGATAGACGAATCATCGGTTTGGTTCGAGTTTGAGAGTAAAGTTAAAGACTCTCGAACTTTATCAACTCCTGCGGCAGACGCGGCGATCGACAAAGCTGCGGCAGAAGTGAAAAGATACCTGCAAGAGCCCATTCTTTCCAGGAAATCTGATCTAATGGAGTGGTGGGAAAAGGATAAAAATGTATTTCCTAATTTGTATGAATTATCACGGAAAAAATAATTCCTTGTGGCTACTTCAGTGCCATGCGAAAAGGTCTCTAAAGCTGGATTAATACTGAATGATCGGCGAAACCGTTTGAGTGGACAAAAGTTGAAACAACTAATTTTCTTACATTACAATTATAATATTTAATCATTTGTTTACCTTCTTAAAATTCCAACCTAAGTACAGCTTAAAATGTTTATATCTATGTTTATGGGAGTCAATTTTTTTATGCTTAATTTTTCGTTACATATTTTAAGTGGTCTTTATTAAAAAAAAAAAAAAAAAAAATAGAAGGAATTAAATGCCTAAAATTTCCATAAAGTTAAAAAATTTGATACTTTTATAATGTTTTGCACAGCCTATCAATGTTTTATTTGTTAACTAAATGAAATATTACTTCATTCAAATGTCAATTTCTTGAAAAAAAATATTATTTTGAAATTGCATTTAGATTATTAATATAATATAAAGTTCTACAGTCTATTATTTACTTAGCTGTACTCACATATGTTAAGTTCTCATATAGCTAAAAGCATGCTATCTTATTTTCTAGTGTTTAAATCATCTTTAATTTAAATTTTTATATCGAATGTACTTATTGAATTCATATAATGCGATTTTACAAATATTTTTGTTGCTTTTTGCTGTTACAGCATCCAGATATTACGCGTTTTTAACCATTTTGCTGAAATTTACTTATTACTGTAGTACATCCAAACATATTACATTATCTCACTTTTCAAAACATATCTCATTTTCTAGTGCTTTTGGTAATTCAAAATGTTTAAATCAAATATATATGTTTATGCATTTTTAAAAATCATATTTTTTGTTTTTAAAAATATTTCTAATCATTTTGTTGTTTATTGTACGGTGCCAAATCTCCAAAAGTACAAATTTAACTCAAAATAAACCTAAATGTAATTTAAAAAGGAACAGTATAAACTTTTTTTGTGGAAAAGCTCTTCAACCATGTGTATATGAATAAATGTGTAAATTTTATTTTATGCCAGTATTGTACAATTAAACACACAAGGTCATTTATGTCATATTTAATGTTTAAATTATCTTACTTTTTTATTCAGAATTTTTAATATATATAGGGGAGTGTAGAGAATAAGAGATTTATCTTTTTTAAAATTTGGTAGCTTGAAAAAGTTTTATTTCGCAGTGGTACTAAAGATCATTATCTTATCTATAAGTGGGATAAAGGTTTGTGAATATTTTAATTTCTAGACCCTACGCACCCCTATGCCCTTTACTACCGAATTGAAGGTATTAAACGACTTCTGTGGTATGTTATTTATCCGTATAAATAAAAAATATCATGTTAAAACAGATTGATCATTAAATTTCTGATATATACTTAGGAAACTGCATCCTATTGGGTTGCTACACACACAGCTAGTTATAGTTAATTTTCTATTTTAAATTTATTGCGACATTTTTACTCATAGTATAGTGTTGCATCAAAATTTCTATTTTCCGATTTTTTTCCTTTGTTTCCCTCCAACAAAACAACACAACACAACACAGCCGAAAGAAACATAGTGTACTCCTTCAATATCATACAAAGAAAATCTTCCGACGTTTTTCAAGTACGCAACTATGCTCATTTGGGGCTGTCCATAAATGATGTCACACTTTTCTGCAACATTTTGGACCCCCCCTCCCCCTCTTTGTCACAAAGTGTCACACTTCAACATACCTCCTCCTCCTTTTGTCACATGTCACACAATATTACGTAAATTTATACTTGCAGTTCAAAAACGTAGCACTACGTTATAGATCATATTTCAGACTTTATTTTTAAATTTAAACTATATGTTTTAATGACATCTGTAAATATAACAATAATAATGATTCATGCACTTATTTTGTATGAAATAAGAGAGAAGTTTACAGCAAAAAACATAATTAATACACAATAACAATAAAATTACAATTTCTGCAGCTACCCTATTCTCAAAACCTACTCTGAATGCCTTTTTTTTTTTTTTTTTTTTTTAGAAAAAAAGGAATGTAAGTGAAAAAAAAAAAATCGCATGAAAGTTGCTTTTGCCACAATTAAGGAAATACCTTCAAATTTTGGTAATTTTAAAATAACTTCAAAATTCAATATGCTGATTTTAAACATTTTTATTTTAATCAAAATATGATGTCACACTTCTTGTTACCCCCTCCCCCACCTTGTCACAAACTGTCACAATTTCACTAACCTCCTTTCAAGCGTGGCATCATTTATGGACAACCCCTTTCACGAAATTGATAGAGCACCCATCGATTTTGCTGCACTTGCACACAAGACACAACCAAAAGCGAAAATGTTTCCATCCATCCACTTCCTGCGCCAATCCTCCAACCCCCACTGGCCATCAAAGACAATCTACACAAAAACAACACCAGAAACAACCCGCCGTTCTCTCCTGCTCCTCAGACACTTCCGTAGTTGACATGTTTTCTGATATTCAAAATCTTACTCTGTACAGATAAAATCAAACACATGGTGACGTGGCAGAGTTCCTTCAGTGCGCAAAATCGTTAGCTGCGTATTTCGGTACTCCAAATCATTACTAGGGTACTTCGGTACTCCAAATCATTACTAGGGTACTCCGGTACAGCAAACCGTTACTGGGGTACTCCGGTACAGCAACCCTTACTCCGGTATTTCGTTACTCCAAATCGTTACTTGGGTACTCGGTACTTGAAATCGGTTTTTGGTACTTTTCAAAGTAACGGTTACTTGAGTAATGGGTATTTTGTATCGGGTACTTGTCCGTACCCGTTACTCTCATACCGGGTACAAGAAAGTACTGAAGTTGCCCATCACTAGTATTGATTGCATTTTCATCAAAACCAGAAAGTGCCTTCCCATTGTACGTTATTTTTGGTTTTATATGAATTAATTCTGAGAATCAACCTTTCAATAGGGACACAATAATCGATTAACATGAATGATATATGATATAGCACTTAGGACGTTATAACCGAAGCACTGTGTGTGTTTGTCTCCAATCACTGTGGCACCACTAGAACCACAGTGATTGGAGATAGACACTATTTCCACAGAGACACTATTTCACGAACGCTATATTGCACAGACCACAGAGACACTATTTCACGAATACTAGATTCAAGATTAGCATAGTAGAATTTCTTGTAGAGCAGATACTCCCAAACAAAATAAGCACAAATTTAGCATTCTCACAATGATTTCTCCTCAATTCAGAAGCTTCCAAACAGGAGCTCACAGCAATGGAATTTCACTTGCTGAAGGCAGTTGAAGTAAATGGATACAGAACAATGAGAAGATTCACAATGCCTTCTTTGACTGATAGTGCATTACATTTACTTTTAATATAAGCAATATTATTTTATATCAGTCATTGCTTGATTCAATTTCACACATGAAGTTAATCTTTTCAAACACTTTACAGATGGCATCTTTACCAAATTACTTGAAAGAACTGCTAGAATCTCAATTAATTGCACAGTTGCTTGTTCAAATTTGGCAGCTAGGCAAAGTGCGCAAATCTTGAGATGTTCGTTTATATAAGCATCCAGTAAATAGTGTTCTGTTCTGTTTTTCCTGACGGCCGATGAGTTTTCCGTCATATATATTGGACAGCCGTTAAATATGCATCATCTTTTAACAATAGACGTTTTTTTGGAATTCTTAAAATCGCCCCATTTTTATCCATGAATACATCTTCACGCACAACCATATCTTCGCAAAAATTGTACTTTTTGCACTGTATGCGGTAAAATGTTTCATATAATGTCACCATATTAATTCAAATAAATTCGTCCTTACTTCAAAAATAATAAATAAAGTCATATTTTAGTAATGAAATAATTGCTAACATACGATTTGCTTTGATTTCGGAAATATGATTGTTTAAAGTATATAAAATACAAAAAATTAATTACTTTATAGATTAGTTTCATTTTTAAATATTTTTCTATAGTATTTATAAAAATATTTTAAGTATTAATTATTTTAACAAAAATTTTAAACAATTATTTAGCACATATTTTTAGTACTAATTAAATTTAATAAATCAAAAGTACTTATATTAAATTTACATTTCATTAGATGAATCTACCTTAGATTAATATATTTAGATGAAATAAAGTAATCAAACATTACAAAGTAAATCTTATGTAGACTTAAAATTCTTGAAAAGGCAGATGTAGTCTCTTTTCATTCCAAAAAATTGCCAAAATGCAACTGCAAATATTTTGCATCTTTGCAACGTTGTGAAAACATCGTAAAAGTTACCCCAACCACTTTGCAACCTCTCAGACCAGTTTGCAACGTCATGTGCTACTTGGGAATAATATAATTACAGGTTGTTCTGTTTAAGTTTGAATCAGGCACTTCTGAAATTATAGACATCATATCTGAAACAACATAGGTTAGCAATCTTCATGAAAATGTGGAAAAGGTAGTGGCTTGAAATTAATATGAAAAATACTCACTCCTTTGCAATAATAATTCTTTGTTTCTGATTGTTTAATAACTGCACTAATTCATTCTAGTAATGGTTTGGTTGTATGGGTGTTTTCATGGTTTGCTCCATATGTAATATAAATGTGCTGCCTGAAAGAGAACCTGAACCAAAAAGGTGGAGTAGAATGTGATGTAAACTGACAGACAGAGAATGCATATACAATTGAGTGTTTTTAATTTTGAAAAGATAATGCAGTGCAGTGATGGGATATACAGGGTTATTAGTATGAAGTAGGACCAAATTTTGCTGTGATACAAGCAATCTGCTATATGCTGTGACACAAGCAAGCTGCTACATGCATGGCATTAATGGATGACTTTATGTTTTCAGTCATCCTCCACAGTTTGTCTTTCAACTGAGGCTGGGGAAGATCAAGCAAACAATGATCAATCACATTTCATAAACACTTGACCAATGAAATCAGAATAACTTGGAATCTAAAGAAGCTTCTAGTAGGTATGTTGTAAGGCTTGTCTGCTAATGACTGCTCTGTGTGGTTGGGCGAAAACAGCTTTTTGAAGAAAATCATAATTTTGCAATCACTGAAGATAAAGTAGAACAACCAGCTATAGCAATTTATTTGCATATTATTATGCGATCATTGTACCTCTGATACAAACCAAATATGACCAACTATGCATGATGATGGGACATCAAGACATAATGATGCTTTGTTGAGCAGTATGATAGTTAAAAGTTGTGCCGGCACTGGACCTCTTTCCACATCACATTCAGACACATACTCAGCTACTGTCAGTAAACAGAGAAAAACTCACAGCTGTACACTACCTTTTGCCATTCAATCATTTAAGAGACTGTCTTAACACCACAGCAATCACTAGTGTTATTTATCGACTTTTGTTTCTGCGTAAAGAGCAGCATGATTGCAAACTATTTCCCCCCAATGGCAGATAGTAAACAGTTACAGTTTTGTAACAGATTCCATTAATCTATACTAAAGTCAGATGTGGTGGTCTCTTTATTATGAAAACAGCTAATAGGTGGGCCACCATTGCTCCTATGAAGGGACGGGCAGTTACAACCATGCCTTCTAAGGGATTTGAACCCAGGCCCTTCAGTATCGCAGTCAGGCTCCCATACCACAATAACCATCTGGGTGGCTTGTAAACTATTTTCAACTAACTGTTTAGCTGTTCTTACGATTATCGGCCCATTGAGGCCTCCCTGCATATTCTACATATGTCAAAAGTCATGCTTCACAAAGCTGCCACTACTTGTCTTCGGATGTGTTTATATCCATGAGCACTGACATGCATCTACAAGCACCAGTAACCCTAGCAGGATTCATTCACATTTCTTTTTTCAACCCATCCTCTCCAAATCCTTTGCACAGTGAACTCATGAAAATATGTTTCAGCTGTATTAGGGAGAGACCAATAAGCTATGTGTAAGCCTAAAACAGAGCCTTTCATGTAAACATCTGATTTGCCAAAACGGATTTTGGCTGCATCTACCATACATATCTTCCTTCCCTTTTATCTATCTAACTTACCACATGAAAAACTTGCATTTTAGATCTATATACAGTATAAAGTCTGTAATCCAGACGTCCATAATCCGGAACGATCTATAAGCTTGAACTTTCGATTATGTCAAAAAGAGTTTCCAATTCTGGAGCTGCCAAAGGATCTACAAAGAGAAAGCATGTTTCGATGTCCATTAAGCAAAAAGTGGAATTACTGCAAAAAATGGATAAAGGCCTATCCCTCTCAAAATTATGCGAGAAGTATGGCATTGGAAAGTCCACTATATATGACACAAGAAAAAGGAACTTTTTGAATTTTTTATAGAAGCAACTTACATTGAAAGAAATGTTTAATAAAGTAAACAAATAAATATTAAGCTTTTTTTGTGTAAATTTTGATACCTTTAAATCATTATTGTTCTTTATTTCATAAATTATGATTTCATATTTTTAATTGCATCATTTCTGCTTGCCATGTTACCAGATTTAAAATGATGATCTATAATCCGGAAAAACCCCTAATCCGGAATCGCCGAAGTTCGGACGAGTCTGGATTACGGACTTTGTACTGTATATATATAAAACATTCAGCTACACCACTGCAATTTAGATAATTATAAAACCAAATCTTTGTAGTGTTGCATTTTTCTTTGTCAGGTAAGGCACAAGATAACTAACTCTCCTTAAGAAGTTCTCCATAAACGCAATCCTCCTCTTGAGAAAAAACATTTATAACACTAAACTTATAAAATGATAAGCCATTAGTAGAATTAAAAAAAAAAAAAAAATCAAAGAAACTGACATGAAGATTAATTAAAGTAAAAGCATTTCAACATTTTTACAGTATCGTCTTCATCAGATGCAACTAAATGAAATACATGTACTATAATTATAAAATCAATGTTTCTAAAGAAATTGTACTAGCTACAGCATGTGTTCATGAAAAACAATTGCAGGGCTTTATTTCCTTAACTTCTGATCCTAGGTGCATACTTCTAATTAACAAAATTTTCATACTTAAAGCAGGAGCAGTTTCAGCACTGAGAATAGAATGGTTTTTATATCAAAAATTTAATTTCTTACACAGTCCTCTTAGCAAACGTAAAAGAAACCACATCAAACATGATATACAATGAAGTAAAATGAAGTTCGCTATTAAAAAACATGTGGGCCTAAACTCAAAAACAAAAGGAAAAAGATTAAAAAAAAAAAATACCTTCTCAGCATATTTCTTCCTTTCATCTCCAGAAAGACCAGATGCTCTTTCTGAAACCATAAAAAAATCCTTATTTTTTTTATTTTATTATTGATTTTTAAATGAATTTTTATTATTATATTTGAATTCTTTATTTTTAAATTTAGTCAAATAAAAAATCATTTTACACATAGGAAAAACCTGAAGCAGTATTTTTATCCTTAATTATATGTTTCCAATCCCAATTACTACACCATAAAACATCACAGCGTCAGTAAAAGAATACAAGCCATGTTTCAAAAGAAAGAATGATTTCACCATTAATAAAATAAATAAATTACTGGTTCAAAATCTCATCCTTTCTTGCCAAGAGTGGTGAGCGACTGAATAGATTAGAGCAATTCTCAAGCTGCTTTGTCCAATGCATCCTTTTACCACTGCTAGAAGATCATCCCCCCTTTTCCATAATTTGAAAAATAAATATATGTGGTGATTTAGTGCATAGAAGGAATCCAGGTAGTGTAACAACTGGCATTCATCATGGCCGGGGTTTGATTATGTACTGAAGAAGATAACAAAACTGGGGTCTTGCAAATCACCAATCTTTGTTTTCTAAGTGGCTAGCCACAGGCTCAGGATTCGATCGCCGGGCTGGGCAAGATTGACTCAGCCTTTCGTCCCTTGAATGGGTCGATAAAATAAGTACCAAGTTCGCTTGGGGACTAAACGCCGGGGGTCCTGCAACAAGCTGACCACTTGCCCCAGGCATATGCTGATGCACCCCAAAGTCAGGAAAGCAGATTTTGGGGTGCTACAGACCACGGCCCACTGGGGCTGTTGCGCCACTCAGTTTAGTTTAGTTTAATCTTTATTTTCAAGCATATCAGATCATTTTCTTAGTAGATAAAATATTTCTAGATCATGTACACTTACAATAATTTCTTATATACACAGATTAACAGGGATATGATGTCATTGATAAAAGGATATTGTCATAGAGATTGATAAAAGTTTAGAATAAGAGAAAGACTGGCAGAGTAGCATAGGGTTGATAGCACGGCAGGAGCTAGGAAAAGAATGACGTAATTTCTTGCAAGCAATATTTACACTAAGTAGATGCACACAGTACTAGTACTCTAAACTATGACTGGTTAATTTTGGGTTTTAGTTTCATTTTTCAAGCTATGTTATATAACATGGAAAGATCTTGAATTTGGAAGAATAGATGAAATTAGGGACAGAGTACCAAATCTAAAACAGTTAATTTTGAGGTTGCCAATTACTTTTTAAAGTAGCCATCATATTTTATTTTATCTTACAAATACATACTTATCTGGATTCAGACAATTTTTTAGCATGTTTTATAAATTAAACAATGAAAAGTGTAGAAAATATTAATAAATATCAAAACTTGAATAAAAGTAATTTTTTATACTCATAAATTAAAATTAAACAGCTAAGTATGAGGCTGACCGCATTTTTTCCCGAAACTATAAAATTCTCTCCTATGGAGGAAATCCTCTCTATTGAGAACCCGTGGACTATAAGGGACTAGGTCAGTCCACGAACATTTTATGCATTAACATTTTAAAGTATATTTTTTCCTAATGTTTAAAAGCATTAAACGGAGCATTATTTTACCTCCTTTGACACGGCAAACCATTCGAGTGTAGTCAGGTTTCTGAGTGAAAAGGAAGAACTGAATTGCATTAGCTCTATGACAGGAAGGACCTTTTCCCTGTTCCTATAGGCTCTGTAGTCATACTGGTATCTACTGGTGGTAGTCTATAAGAAATTAAAATTTTCTAGAGAATCTTACGAGTGAAATTAATTTAACTCTATATTTTATGCTGCCTTCATGAGAGCATTCTTATCGTATTCATTATGTGAAAGAATTCAAAATAAAACATATTAAATACAATGATTCCAAGCTATGGAGAAGGAAGAGGTATGAAAAGCTAGTCCTTCGACAAGAGATCATAATGGAGCATGTGCAAGCAGCCTCCGAAACTGTTTCACCCTGGCATCTTCATCAACTGCCAGTGTTACAAACCCTATGGTCTCAATCAGTTGTCTCTTGTATTCTTTCGGTTAACATATTTTCAAGAGATTAAAAAATAATGATAAAAAGTAGGTCTAGTTTACATTTTTCTTATGTGCAAGCACAGAATATTCTACCATCATGCCAAAGCAGAACGCTATATAATTTCAAAATGATTAATGGTAAAAATAAGAAATAATCTAATTTGTTGACTTTTTGCGATAAAATGTTTAATTAATTATTTGCTACAATATCCATGAAGATTAAAAATATTTATTTACTTATTTATTATAGTATGATAAAATGTTGAACAGCTGTGGGAAGATTCAGATTAATGAAGAGTGAATGAAGCATGGTTCGGCTTCTCAAGAACCTGATCTGTGGAGTTCATGAGATAAAAGTTCTTGCAATGACAAAATTCTTCTGATGCCATATTAAAAGCAATCATGCAAACATAAAAGGGTATGTGAGAAGAACATGAACTTAGGGAATAATCCTGGCACATATTTGGCATTTAAAACACAGGGTTTGTGAAAACAAGAAAAGTCCTATTTCTTAGTACTTTCTGCTGTATTATTGATAAAAGTCTGAAAGCAAATTTGACGTTATTGAAATAATTCTATACTTAAAATCAGGAAAAATGCAACCTTTGTTTAGCATGAATAAAGTTTTATTGATTTTAAGGGTGAACACACTGATCTCTTATCTTCAGGAAGGGGGGATAGCACAGCAATATATTATAAAATACCAAAATACGAAGATACCGCTTTTAAAAAATTAATGAAGTTTTTTCATTTTCCCAAGCAAGAAAAAATATTTGTTCTTAAAGAAGATAAATCTGCTTGATCACTCTAAAAGAATTTTATTAAAAATTTATGCCAAGCAAAAGTTGCTTTTCTTGTCCAATTTAAAATTTTATACTGGTATATTTCTCTGTTATATTTTTCATTATATTTTTCATACTGGTATATTTTTCATATGTTAAAAAACGTTTGTAACAGAATTAACTTATATGCATTTTATGTAAGTATGCTTTTCAGTTTTTTGAAGCATGGTTGTTAAAACCTCAATGATGAAATACAAGTTGTTTTTCTCATTAAAATGCCTTGCTGTAAATCAGAATTACCTTATATATACAACTTAATATTTTACAGATAAATTAAGCTAATGTATCATACATTCTTGAAATTTTACATGATTGTGGGAGGGAACCACTACTACTAATACTGCTACTTAGTTTTTACTTTAAAGTTTAATATTCAGACAATTTAACACAGTCTACATTTATTATAGAAAAATTTTAACACATTAAGCTCATACAAATAAAACAATCTTAAATTTATATGCCCCCCTTGTAGAACACCACTGCATTTCTATCTTATGTAAGGATGTTAGTCAAATATGGTTAATATTTTCTATGCATTAAAGAAAAGGAATTCCGTATTATAAATAAATTTCAAGACTTATGATGCAAAGTTCATGACATGATTTATTGTGTTTTAATGCTTTTAAAGATTTTTTTCCTACATATGAAAAATCACATAATTACAAGAATTTCAAATATGGGGTTAAAACCGAATTGTTGCTTGAGGAATTCAATGAAGATCTTAATGCTCTTGAAAATTCTTTTAAGAAGAGCAAATAAAACATTTTAAAGCATTCTAAACTGGCACTATCTGTAACCTAATTGTTGTAAAACTGGTCTTGCTGTGGCAATTTTCATAAAAACTCTCTAACAGAAAGCTGATTTTGTAAATTAATAATTAACCTTGTAACTTAGTTTGAAGAACTCACTCTTTGCAATGTTCAGTCCTTTTCCAAACAAATATTTCACATTCTTTTAATTATACCTCCTTTCCCACATATTACACAATCTTTGAAAACTTAATAATATAAAGCACAAAACATATAAAATACTCTCATGTTTTACTTCAGTAGTTCACTTATTTCCTTTCAAGTACCTTTCATGCTAGCAAATCTTGAAAAGAGTGCTTCAAAGGAACCACCTGGATCTTCTCCACTGAGTACATCAGCAACCAATTTATCTTCTAATAAAATTTCTGAAAGGTAAAGAGATTTTGTACATATTCATAGTTTTGGATATATTTCAAGCAATTTACTTATTAAATTAAATTTCTTGGAAAACAAAATATTATTACATTAGAGAATGGAACCAATTTAAAAAGCTTCTCATCATAAGATCTATTATCACCCATCCTATAAAAATGCATACTTGCTTCCTATCAAAGATGCAGAAAACTTGAAAACTTTTATAGATAAAGTCACATATTAAACAGAACTACAATACCAATGTATTAAAAGCCTCTTAAACCTATTTCATGCAGCAAACTGGAATTAATAAGCGATTTTTAGTACAACATCAGCATTAAAAATCTTTCATGGCAACTACCTCTTAAATTCAACCACCAGTATTTCTGAAAACATTGTAGAAACATTAGATATTTTGGAAGCAGGAGTGATGAAAAATGAGCAACGCCCTCACCGGGAATCGAACCCCTGACCTCTGGAATACGCGTCCAGCATGCAGACCACTACACTATGAAGGCATGCTAAGAAGGCGGGAGAAATATCTTATAGCATAATTAAAAACTTATATTATCGAATTTGATCTCTAACAGCCACCTTTACAGAATGCTGATTCATTAATATATATAACACTGAATCATTAATATGTATCTCATCTCATGGTTGCTAGTCTCAGGGAAGTTTTAATGCATTTAAAATAATAAATTTTTTTCTGTAACATACAGAAATTTTAAATATGAATAAGCATGACTATTTTTAGTTTTATACAAGACACAGCAAAAAATAGTAGAGTCAAATACCGAAAATCCGCCGACATGAAATCCACAAACTCCTGAAAAGCTTTTATATTATGCCCAAAGGAGCATTTTTTTAATGTTTTGTGTGTTACCTTTATGTATTAAATATCATATTCTTTGCACTTAAAACATAAAATTGAATTCAACAGCAGTACCACAAAAAAAGAAGCCTCATGCATAAAATATCTGTGTTTGAAGATGCCTGTGATGTTAACGTTAATGAAACACTTTGAAAGCATTGAGTTTGTTACTCAAAAATTCATTACAGGTTTACAAAATATGAAATAGACAATAAAGCTAAATTTCAAATTTGGGCTTCCAGATGCCCATATTTGAGTGGAGGACTAAGTTATTCAAAATTTGATGGCTCTAGGTACCATTGTTTTTTGCAATGTGAGAAACATATACATTAATGCAGATTCTTCATTATTTAATTTCTTTAAATATAATGCATGGCTCTAATATTTGGTAGCAACAATTTGAAAAGTGATTCAGACTTTTATAATCAATTAATAATAACACAAAATGCCAAAATGAAATTAATAGCCCTTCTGGGCTAATTTCTTTGGCTAATAATATGAAAACTTGACCATACTGTCACACAAAAAGGTACACATGTAAAGTTTATACTTTGCATTTATGATGAAAGAAAAATCTACATAAAAAGCTATATACAGTCAAAAGTTGTTAATTTGGACACCCATAATCTGGAATGATCTATAATCTGGACCTCAAAGCTAAAAACTTTCTGCGCATGCGCCGCGTTGACACACGTGCATAGGCGTTTATGCTTGCGCGTAAGACCTTTACGACTGCGCATATGCGTGTGCACAAGCGCAGAATACGTTTTCGCGTGCGCGTTTAATGCATAATGGACGGTATAAGCTAAAATCATCTAATTATCTATTTCAGTTAATATTGATGATTGCGTTGTTCCTTAATCTTCAAAGTCGATCCGGCTTATTATTTTTTGCAGACTTCGTAAGAGCAATTTTTTTAAAAGTAAACTTGAACTTTCGATTATGTGAAATAGAATTTCTGATGCTGGAGCTCCCAAAGGACAAACGAAACAAAAGTATGTATTTACAAAACGAAAGTATGTTTCGATGTCCATCAAACAAAAAGTGGAATTGCTGCAAAAAATGGATAAAGACATGAAGAAGGTGATAGAGAGGTTAGTGAAAACGAAAAAATTTCGATTGACATGTTAGTCGGTATTCTCGGCACAGCAATTACGGGACTTGAACAGCAGAACTTTGTAACTGAACAAGAAATTATGTCCGTTTATAGAATTAAAGAGAAAGTATTATCACATAAAATGAAGCAACTTAAACAACTTACATTGAAAGAAATGTTTAATAAAGTAAACAAATAAATATTAAGCTCTTTTTTTTTTTTTTTTTTTTTTTTTTTTGTAAATTTTGATACCCTTTAGATCATAATTGTTCTTTATTTCATAAATTACGGTTTCATATTTTTAATTTTAGAATTTCTGCATGCCATCTTACGAGATTTAAACTGAGGATCTATAATTCGGAAAAATCGATAATCCGAAATTGCCGAAGTTCCGACGAGTCCGGATTAACGACTTTTGACTGTATATATATACACTGCTCGACATTGAAAATGCAACACCAAGAAGGAGAGGTCAGAAATTTAAGCAAATTTTAGAGCAGACGCACGTCACTGAGTTATGCAAATGATGTGAAATGCGCAACTCTCCAATGCACGTGAAGTAAGATATAAAGCAAGGAACATGCAATATTTGTGTCGTTATTTCTGCCAGACGAACTATCAAAGAAAGTTGGTTTTTGTCCTGGAGGATATGTGTAATAGGAGAGAATGGCCAGGCCGCCGTCAACGAAGGCACTTCCACCAGATAGACGATTTTACGCGAGGTATGGTGATCAGACTGAGAAGGGTGGGTCAGTCCTTACGTCAAATCGCAGCTGGATGCGAGCACGGTGCATCGGCTATGGCGAACATGGTTGGAACAAGGAAATGTGGGAAGAAGGAGGGGTGCAGGAGCAGCCAGAGTGATGTCAGCAAGTGTGGATCGATGCATCCGCCGACAAGCTGTGCTGGTCTCGCAAGTTACTTGTACCACTATTCTGCAGCATGTGCAAGATACCCTGGATGTTCCTGTGTCGACCAGAGCCATTTCCTGTCGATTAGTTGAACGTGCCTGCACTCACGGCATCTGTTAAGAAGACTGCCATTCACCCCACAGCATAGACGCCAATGTTTAGAATGGTGCCGGACTAGAGTGATGTGGATGACAGAATGGCGAAACGTCGTGTTCTCAGAAGAGTCACGCTTCTGTTTATCCAGTGACATTCGGCGCATACATGTGTGGGCATCAACGTGGAGACAGATCTAATCCGGCAGTAACTATGGAACGCCTCTCTGCACGACAACGTGGTATAATAGTTTAGGGCGCTATTGCCTATGATTCCAGGTCACCTCATATTCAGGGCACTATGACGGCCCAACAATACTTGGATAATGTACTGTGGCCTGTGGCGATCCCCTACCTTCAGGGGCTGCCTAATTCAATTTTTCAGCAGGATTATGCCTGACCACACAGTGCTCGCATCTACCAACATGCTCTGCAAGGTATACAGATGCTTCCCTGGCCACCGTACTCTCCTGACCTGTCACCAATCGAACATGTGTGGGATGTGATTGGACGCCGTTTGCAGACTCTGCCCCTGCCTCGTTTAGAAGATGAACTGTGGCATATGGTTGAAAGGGAATGGAGAGCCATCTCTCAGGACACCATCCACGACTCTATGTCTAGACATGTTTCTTCATGCATCGCTGTCCGCGTTGGTCCTACATCCCACTGAGCCGACGCCGTTCTCGTCTGTATTCTGACTATCATTTTGAAATAAAGATCACTTATTGTTGCTTGCTGTCTCTGTCTTTTTTCCAAATTCCATCACTTTCTGATCACTCCTTTTTGGTGTTGCATTTTCAATGTCGAGCAGTGTATATATATATTATGTATGTAATGTTCTAATGCATAGTAAAAAACATTGGAAGTTTTAACAGCTTTCAATATCCATCATGGCTGGTGGTTAAGGCAACAAAACTGAATTTCAACAAATCACCAGTCTTTATTTTCATACATATCCAATTAATTTGGCAGACACTTATTCAATCATAATTTAAAATGATAAATTTCTATGTACATTGGATTTTTAAAAGAAATGACGTAGGCAGATGAGAAGCAAAGCGGCGTGAGGATGATAGAGCAGCACTTAGGGAAAGGAATGGAATGAAGTAGCTTATTTTGCGAGTGGTATTTATACTAATAGTACATGCAGAAAGTACTCGAAAGTTATGATTGATTAATTTTAGGTTGTTATATAATCATAGAAGGATCTCAAATATGGGAGAACAGATGAATTTAGGGAAAAAGCACCAAATCTAGAATCATTAATTTTGAGGTCGCCAATTATTTTTAAAGCAGCTATTGTATTTTCTTAATCCTATAGATTAATATATATATATACACACACACATATACACATTTTTATAAAATACCATCATTATCAACTTCTATTTTCTTAGATGTTTTAGACGTTTCTTGTGAAGGTGCACAAGTAGCAGATCTGCTATCACCTGCAGCCTGAACATTTTCTGTCTCTTCCTTTGAATTGTCTTCTTGAGAGATACCTGTAATATACATAATTCACTAATTAAGGACATCTATCAAATTCTCAAGCTATTTAACTTTAAATATCTTACAGATAAAATTTAAAAATAATGTACACTGCACAAAAAAAAAAGGGGGGAGCTGTTCTATATCTCCTATTCTATTGAGCCGATTGATGAAATTCAAATCGCATTTTTCATGTCTCAAAAGCGCGACATAGGATATATATTTAGATTTATATATAGCTTTATTCTAACATAGGTATTTTGACATAAAATCGAACTTTTTCTGAAATGAAATGCCAATTTTCCCCCAAATTAATTGGATATGTATGAAAATAAAGACTGGTGATTTGTTGAAATATCCCCCCCCCCGGTGGTGTACATCCTAAGAAGTATGTAACATTTTCAAATCTAAAGTACAGTAGCAATATTTTATTTTTCATAAATAATTATTCCAAAATTCATACTTTGGCAAAAATTTTTGGAAAAACTTCAACTGGAAAAACTTTGGCAAGATCATTTAAACATGTTAGCCGTTTAGCCTACTAATGCCTTTTACCTAGCCTATAAATCTAAAATTTTTACTTAAGCATATTTAAATTAATCAATCTGCTTACCAATGATTTGGAACACAACACCTATTAATATTATTGGGTTTAATCAATTATGGAACTAAAGCATCACAGCATGCATATGCTCTTCAAATTTACAGTACATGGAACCAAAACAAAAAAATATTCTATTGATAAAAAATAAGCAAAATAATTAAATTTTTTTATTTTTATTAAAAAAATCTTTTAAATTATAAGAATAAATTAGTGTCATTTTTGCATAATGAAACTCGCCAATGTCAAAAATAAATGATGATATATATTGGTGAGAGATTATTCTACCTATGTTTTGAGCCAGAAGTAAAAAAAAAAAAAAAAAAAACCTGCACTGTACTTCCTTCTTTTTCAGGCTTTATTCATTTTTGGACTATACTCCTGATTACATTGCCTAATAGGTAAGCCTGAAGATGTTTAAAACCTATAAATGAGTGTCTTGCAAGTTCTTTTTTCAACACTTCAATTTATATATTTGATTTGTGTCCTAGTTGAGCTTACCAAACTCTCTAACTTGTTAAGTAAAGATTTCATGGTTATTCTGCCTTATGATTCTTTAATAAAACTGTGCTAAATAAAGGATAGTGAACTTAAACACATGACCTATCATAAATATTTTTATATAAAACATACAATTGAAGTTATTCAAATGAAGAAAAAATTAATAATTACGTTATTTTTCACTTTTTGCTTTACTTATAGATTACATACTTATGGAATAAGGAAAAATAGAATAATTGTATAAGTTTTTATAAATTTACATGGAGAGAAATTTATAAGAACTATATTTTCCTGTAATAGTATTTGTTACAAATACCCACCCTTTATGACAGTGGTTACAAAGTGTGGGGTCACAGGACAATTTTTGGCAAGCTGCAAAAAGTTTTGAAGTACTCTTTTTCTTAAAGCATCATTGTATTAACTTGTACTTATGAATAACTTATTATAATAACTAGTGTATTTTATTTATTATTATTTTGTAACTACACTGTTTTCTTCTGACAATGTTCTTTTTTTGAGTAACTATATATGTTTAGATTACATACTTATGGAATAAGGAAAAATAGAATAATTGTATAAGTTTTTATAAATTTACATGGAGAGAAATTTATAAGAACTATATTTTCCTGTAATAGTATTTGTTACAAATACCCACCCTTTATGACAGTGGTTACAAAGTGTGGGGTCACAGGACAATTTTTGGCAAGCTGCAAAAAGTTTTGAAGTACTCTTTTTCTTAAAGCATCATTGTATTAACTTGTACTTATGAATAACTTATTATAATAACTAGTGTATTTTATTTATTATTATTTTGTAACTACACTGTTTTCTTCTGACAATGTTCTTTTTTTGAGTAACTATATATGTTTCGGTTACAACAGTTACATGCATGTGTGTCACGATAAGATGCAAGTTATGTGTGGATGAGGCTAAAAGTTTGGGAAACAAAATTTCTGAATTTGACTTATAACAATAATATATGAAAAAATTTAATTATTTTATTAAATACAAAGAAATCACACAGAGTTAACTTATATTTGTACACAAACTCAAATTAAATAAGGAATCAGCATCCTTCTATTTTTTATACACAGTAATCACAGAAAAACACATTATTTGAACTAGTAGTAACATATTTCCAGATTATTCAATATTTGAATATAAACAGAGAAATACTAAAAATGTATTTTGCAAAATTTAAAATACATTTGGAAATTACATACATTTGAAATTCTATAAACTAATATATATAAATGAAAATTCTATCAACTGAAGAGTTAAAAAAAAAGTAAACTAAATCAAACTTAATATACATTATCAAAATTTTAATGTCAGTAATCATTTATTGTGTACTGATCTGAATTTTTAATAACTTAACACAACCCTTGTGGCATCTTCTTTTTAACTAATTATTCAATATCAGGTAAATATTTATTAATTTTCAGCATCACACAAGCTTTCAAATGCATAGATATTAGAAAACTTGTCCGTAGTCTCACAGCAGCTTTTACGAAAAAAAGTTGTTTATATGTATAAGTTGATCCCAAAGTCAAAAATATGAATTACTGTTAAAACTTACTCAAGCAACACAGGACAATAGTCAAATAGAAAGACTTCCATTTATGTAAACATTCTGTTGAAATAATATCATCAAAATTACATTATTTATTAATGAGATATAAATAGATTTTTAGCTTTATGAATTTGCAAGTCTTAGACTTTGATCCGCATTCACTACTGCTTAAAATAACTTTCATTTTTAGTAGACTAACTGCCTAAAATAAGAAGTAAAACAGAAAAAATATATAATTTTAATGAATCCAGTCAGTGTAATATCATACAGTTATTTAATATTTCTAATTAGACATTAACTCTTTGAAGGGCACATATACCAGATGTTTGTCAATTTTTTAACCTCCTAAAAATAGCTAATTTTTCTACAACAAAAGCTGTAATCATAAGTTTCTACTGTTTTATTTTAATTCTAAATGGCAGCACTACCCTAGTTTTAAGTTACATATTTTGCAGTTATGAAATTAATATACCTCTTTCAAAGGTATCATGTTTGAATATTCATAAATTCCATTGGAGGATAGGGAAAAATGCACAATCTTCAAATGTATGACACACACATGCTGAACCGTTTATATTTACTGCATTTCAATCAAAACTGATAATTAAAAGAAGATTATGTATATGTTTCTAATACCGGTCTACTGAGGGTACCTTGTTAATAGATGGCAGCACCAGGCTTCTCCTTCTATACTCAGTGACATGACAGAATTTCTTTACATTATAATAGTTTATGATGCAATAATTTGCTTATGATTAATTTACATATTGTTTAAAATTCAGTATTATGTTCATGGGTGTATGGGAAGTTTACTGACCCTGTCCTAGGACTGAATACAAGTATATTAGTTTCGTTTTATTCCTTGTTTACAATACTCGAGTTTCTCATTCTTCTCTCTTTAGCTAAAATTTTAATTTCAGCACCCCACCCTTTCCCACGAGAAAGACTTGTCTGGCATAAAAAAATGTTGCACAACTGTAGAGGTTAAATGTGGCATTGTTAGCCCCCCAACACACCCGTTGTTTCGGGTTTTCCAAAATCTTATGCAGCGAATATGACAGGTGACAGACAACAAATTTGTCATGCACTGGCATATAAAAATTTCACACTAGATTTTTTTGAAGTCTCAATTTTGTGTCCTAAGGGTCTATAAGTTACAATTCATTCAAAATTTTACCACAATTTAAATTACTTTATATACCGCCCCTCAAAGGGTTAACAAATGCATTTTTATTTATTTCAATCAGACTAAAAAGTAGAAAAAATATTCTTACAGAACTGCATTCATTGCTTATAAATCATTTGATTTGTTAATCAATAATGGTACTTTAAATTTAAATGATAAATATCTTACGGTTTATTGAATGGCACAAAGCCAGTACATGGAAGATAAAAGTATTTTATTTCAAGCAGTGGCAACATTGCTTTTAAATAATTGAATTCATTGATTAAAATTGAAAGATAAATATCTTTTATTTTGCTGGATGACAACAGTCTCGTGCAACAGAGATAAAAAATGTTTTATCTCAAACAGTTTTGCCAAGCTGTCTTTCAAACTGATATTTTAATCAAAAATTCATTAAATTCATACAAAATATGAAATAAATAAAAAACAAATTCAAAATTCAGGATTCAAGGGGCACGTGTTTAGGTCCAGGACTATATGTGTTCAAAATTTGTTGGCTTTAGGAAATGCAGTTTTTCCCCAAAGCGAGAAGCATACAAACAGATTCCCTTTTTTTAAATTTTTTTAAATTTAAAAGTAAAGATTAAAAGTGAAAAATTTATACACTTAATTAAAATTTAATTTTTTAGGCGATTACTATATTTGACTTTGTTCCAATGTTATTTAAAATCTTAACATGTAACAAGTTACTTGAGATATATGCTAAGAGATGCTGATAAGGTTCAGTTATAAGGTAACTTAAAAGCTCTGTAGTATTTTCCATTAAAAATACTAAAATTTTATTCTTCCTATAGTCTAATTAGAATAAAACATTTTAAAAATTAATTTTTAAATTCTCATTCTAAATTTAAATATATTTAAAAATATATATATAATAAAATTTATCTCACAAATGTCTTACCTAAGACTTCTACCCCTGCTTTATCTGCACTTTGTTTTGTTTTACTTAGAAACAGAGTTTAATCTAAAAATAAGTATGTATAGTTTTACATATATGTGTTAAACAAACACTTTTTTGGAATTACCAACAAAAAATAAAGCATACTTTTTGATATAAAGCCCAAGCAACAGAAAACGCACATTGAGATAATGTTAAATGAGTAAGAAGTGCACATACAATGAATAAGAAATGTTCTACAATCAAAGAGAATGA